CTTCGCTAAAAAGGCTGAGATATATTTCAAGAAGAGGCCAGAACTAGTGAGCTTTGTCGAAGAGACATACAAAGCATACAAAGCTCTAGCCGATAAGTACGACCACATCTCAAGCGAGCTACACAAAGCAAACCACACAATTGCAACTGCCTTTCCTGATCAAATACACTTCGAAATGCAAGATGATGATGACGATAATCTCCCAGAAACGATTACCTCCATCAATGCCAGCATACTCCGCAAGCCAACCTCAGATATCCCTCCCATTGGCTTAATGCAGAAAAGAAAAGAAAACCAAGCAACATTGAAGAAGTCAAGGCTTGCAAGGGAAACTTCTCAGAAAAGCAAAGACAAGGCTCAGGAAGAGATCGACAAGCTTCAGAAGGGAATCTTGGTTCTTCAGACCGAGAAGGAGTACGTAAAATGCTCATATGAGAATCAAGTGACCAAGTATTGGGACATTGAGAAGCAAATTATTGATATGCAAGAAGAGGTATTTTACTTGCAAGATGAATATGGTGTTAGTGTGGTTATTGAGGATGATGAGGCTCGTGCATTGATGGCAGTCACGGCGATTAATTCTTGTGAAAAAAGCATAAACAAATTGGAGGAACAACAGAAGAGATCAATTAAGGAAGCAAATGTTGAGTCTGAAAGAATTAAGATTGCCAAAGAGATGATGAAAGTACCTGAGGACATTGTGGATGACGTACCTAATGAAAGCCTTGACTCGGAGTCTTTACGTGAAATAGGCAAGGAACATATTGATATTTCTTCTGATCTTTCGGTGGTAGAACTTGCAGAAAAGATCAATGAACTTGTCGCTAAAGTCATCGATTTGGAAGTAACAGCATCATCTCAGGCTGCACGCATAGAGACACTGAAATCAGAAGCTGATGTCCTCCATAGACACCTACAGAGTTTCGAAGAAGAGAAGAAAACTCTTGTCAATGATTCAAATAGTTTGCGAGAAAAGCTAAATGAGGCAGAAGAGAAACTGCTTATCCAAGATAAAAGTAGTATGGTTGATAAAATTTCTACTGTAGCTCATAAGAATCTCGATGATATTTCAGTTGAAGCAATGTATCACAAACACCTTGAGCATGTTAATACCGCTAGCCTATCTCACGAGGTGACCTCTCTTCATAACAGTGAATCATCAAGAAGCTATGACGAAGAACTTAAAGAAACTCTTTCGACCAAACCGTCCACTGGTTTTGGAGATATTTCAGACAAATTGAGGTTATCAAAAACTGAGAAAACACCAACAGACTATGGAAACAAAGAAGTTGAAGTACTTAATACAGGGAACAATTTAGTTGTGGAATCTCAAGGGATTCAGGAGCTTGGTCCTGACCTTGAAGATCGAAACATTTTTGAACATTCAGAAGCAGGCTCTCAAGTTAAGGAAGCTGAGTTCAGTTCATGGCAAGTATTTGATGATGTTGATCCTATTAAAGAATCCATACCACAACTGGAAGTTGAAGTCAATTCATCGAAGGCAGATGATAATATTCATCAAAATATGGAAGTCAAAGCTGACTTTGATAATGAACACAAGGTGCAAATTGAAGATGGAACAGAAGGTAAAGAAACTTTTTTAGTGTCTGAGTATAAATCAGCTATTGAAAACTACGAAGAAATGAAGAAAAGGCTCTCTGAAGTAGAGAAGAAAAACCAAGAAAATCTCCTTGCGATGACAATGCAGATAAGTGAACTCGAGAGTGCTAATGCGATGAAGGATGCAGAGATTCACAATCTAAGGAAAAGTTTGAGATCTGCGAAATCAAATTCCAACCAAATTCAAGATGTTAATTTACCAGAAATGGGTTCAATACAAAGGCCTGAAGAATCCGAGAATCCAAGATTAAGGACAAGAACTATAAGGTTCGCATCTTTTGATGTCTCAGACAGAAATCCCCTTTCAAGCAAATATCTCAAGCTACCAGCAACTGATGTGCAAAAGAATACTTCAGCTATCGAAGAAAAATTCAGAAGGGACATCGATACAGTATTAGAGGATAACTTGGAGTTCTGGCTAAGATTCAGCACTTCGTTCCATGGAATTCAAAATTTCGAATTAACATTGGAGGAGTTGCAAGCTGAGATCAAGAAAGTGAAGCATAGGAAATTAGGAGAAGGCAGACAAGGCAGTAGTCATGGAAAAGAGACTAATCCAGAATCTCTCTCTATCGACAAACAACTTAGAGAGTTAAAGACTGAGCTCCAAGTTTGGCTCGAACAGAATGAGCTGATTCAAGGAGAGCTGGAGAGTAAACTCTCCTCACTTTCCAGTCTACAAGAGGAAATTTCAGGGACTTTGGAATCAAGTCTAGAATCGAGTTTAGAAGCAGACACGGTCAAATTTGCTCCATATCAGGCTGCAAAGTTTCAAGGTGAGTTACTGAACATACAACTCGAGAATAATAAGGTAGCAGATGAATTAAAGGCCGGGCTTGAGCGTGTAACTGAGCTCCAAGCTGAAGTTGAGAAGTCTCTTTCGAGGTTACATGAGAAATTTGAACTGCCAGTTCCGGGAAATCGAAATAATGATCAGTTGAAGAATATTCCTACAAAAAATCGAGTACCATTGAAGTCCTTTTTATTTAATGCAAAGCCCAAGAAGAGGCAATCTATATTTGCTTGTGTGAATCCAGCAATACAAAGACATATGGTACCACGCCCTTCGTCTCGCCCTTCATCTCACCCTTCAGCGCGCTCTTCACCTCGCCCTTCATCTTCATCACAAACTTCATAATTTGTCCAGCTGTAAGTAATTTTCTCTTAAACTCTAAAATTAATTGCATGTAGATGCCCTGTAGTTTGTTTTTTGCTGCTGATAGACCCCCTGGTTAAATTTTTTGACTCTTTTATGCTCAGTTAGATTCACTAATGCCACCCAGAGACAATGAAATCGCAGGGGTAAAAGAAAAAAAATTTCCAGGAGGTCCATTTGCAACAATGAAATTGCAGGGCTGGTAAGTTCAACAAGAAAAAACATAGGGGGTCTATGTACAATCAACCTGAAAAGTTATCCTAATTGTTTGGTTCACTAGTTGTAATTAGCCCTTTGCTTTCTTCAAGTAATGTAAGCCTATATGCCGTTTTCAACAGGAACATACTAAATTTTACTTCGCTTTGGACCCTTTTACGGGGTGAAGGAAAGTTCTTGCATAGGAAAAAAAGTGAGGTATTCCTGGCTCTACTACGGGATTCTCCCCAAAGAAAATGGATAATAGTTACCCCATGGACTGGAGAGTTGTCTACCCAGTTTGCGCTAAAATAGAGGCAATGGAAAAACAATTTTCATTTTTGTCATTTCTTGTATCATTTCAGTTATTTATCTCTGTAAAGATATTTAAAGGAGAAACCAGTCTTTTTTTGCAATGGTTGATGCTGTTTTAGTTGATCTTCTCATATGTGTTTACTATGGTGATCGAAAGGTCAATGTTTCTGTGAAGTGGTAAACATGAGTGTGCTCTCATTAATCAACATGTTTGTAAGTGGGGAGAGTTGCTACCATACTTTGCAGGAGTTCAATATACTAGCCAACACTAGATCATATTTCTAACTTCTGACACATTTGCTACTGAATACGTTCAGCATGTTATCACGTGTGATCCATGAGTAAGAAACTCCAATTTCTATTGAAATTTTACCGCACAACCTGCATTGCATGTTGAAGCGGTTTTGAGTATGGCAGCTGCGACGTTTTTAGAAAGACAGTTTTTTTTTAGAAAGACAGTTTTTCCCTATGATTCTCGATCTATTTGTCCAGATTGTTGTTTTATATCCGAAGATCTAACGTGGATCGTAGCTGCATTACAGTACTCTGTTTCTTGATTTCTACATGTTTCTTAGTGACAGCCTCAAACATGTTTGTCCAACTGATACTTAGCATGATAGCCTTCTGTTTTATGCTCATTCAAATATCATACATTAGGTCCAACCTTGTTTGATATGGTCCTTCACAAGATACACTCTTGTTTGATATGGTTCAGGTAAATTGCTCTTTTACAAAGTTTACTAAATATATTTATGTACAAGTGCTAAAATTACCAAAAGCGTATATTTGATAAACCACTGAAAAATAAATATTGAAGCACAGGTAAGAGCTCGCAGAGAAATCTTGACTAAAGCAACAATCCTTTGAGAAATTCAGTGTAGCTGATTTAAGTTGTGATTATTTACAGTCTGTTGTTAAGTTCTTCTGACATTGGCTCATATGCCAGTAATAATTTGAAAATATATTTCTGAAACATTGTATTGAAATAACTATACTATTCTAGCAGTATTATTCGTTCTCTCGTAATGTTTACCTGCATTTAACCCTCATATACATACATAAATTGGATGATGCACAATTAGAGGAACACGATGCAGAGGAAATAATAACATCCTCAAGAAATTGCGTGTACAAGAAATCTTCAATTCAACAATAAAATGCATTAGGAAAAAGTAAGGCAAAAGTAAGCCATGTACATCTTACGCATTACTCAGATCCATTAAGCTTCAGCAAATTATGGAAACAAAGAAAACTGATGAATGCCGAAAGCAAAGGGAAATAATTAGCAGCATGATGATGTCCTCTGTCATGACAAATTGCCAGAAAAGTAAGCTGACCTTCATCTTTCTACACCATAATTTTCTTAAGTAGAGTTCTTTATATGCTAAAGGCAGTCGGCTCCACTCTCTAAGATCGCTTGGTACAACACAGTGGGCATTCAGATGTCATCAATTTTTATATACATGGGTTTTACATATGATACTGCCATAGAACAAGTTGAGAGATTTGTTACATCATATATGATCAAGGCCCATTTCATCTTCAACGTCATCACCGTCTTCAAACAGCTTTTAAGAATCGTGCTTGGTCTTGTTGCCTTTTTCTCTTCTGCCAGTATCTGTAGATAATATATGCTCCACCAGTAGCTACTGTAGCAGCCAACAAAGAGGTGGGTATTATCGTGATCACATTTAAATTCTTCTGCTCCTCCTTGGTGGGGATAACAGTTTGATTAGAATCTAAAAACACAACAAAATTCAATCAGAATCAAAATGATTTTATCTTACTGATGCATACAAGAGGAATCTATGAGTATCAGTTATCTTCAGAAAGCCAAACACTGCTTTGCCAATTTTAATCATTATCAAACTCCATATAGAAAAGAAAGTGTCAGCATTTGGGATATTGAAGATGTTCCATAGATCAAGATAAGTTGAGTTTACAAGAGAAGGATTTCATTTTGACATGCAGAATCACTAACCAGCAGCAGCAGCAGCAGTGCACTCAGGACATATAAATGTGGCATTGAACTCCTTCTCCTCAAACCATACATATCTTCCAGCAACAAAATCAGATGCACAAAACTCCCACTCATCAAATACATCATCACGTTTTATAGCGTCTTCTTAGTAGAAACCACATTGCTGGCATTTCTTATCTGGAAGTTCTGTCAGTGGCTGCAATTAAAGATGGTGAATCAGTCCAAATTCCTCTAAACAGTGTCCACTTTGTTTTCTAAGCCTACGCATTAAAGAAAAATCACAACACATGAATAAAAGAATTTCCAAGAAGATCATTTGAGACAATATCAGCAATCTCAAGCTGACTGCTCATTGAGGGCATGGCAAGAAATTATAGCAAGAGTTAATTGGATTTTGCATTTGTAGAAGTGCTCAATTGAATAGCATGACAAAAAGAGAGAGATAGGGAGGGAGGGAGGGAGCACAGCTTTAATTTGATATAATGAAAAATAAAAGTGCAACATAGCCAACAGGGATTGGACCCGAGACCCTAACATGGTTTAATCATTTGGCCTAGGTGGACCTGTACATTCCTACACAAACTTAAGATGATTCAACATGGAAAACTATATGTTTATTTGAAAATACCACTTGACTTAGTGGCTTCTATAAGTCCATCCATTTTCCTATTTCACATGGCCAAAGTTACTTTTGTTGGACAATGGTTAAAAAGAGAATTAAATCCACCAGTTCATGGCTGACTCTGATTTACTAATCTAGCCAGAGTGAGAACCGAGCTCCCCGAAACTGTTTCAATAACAAAAAGGAATCATGTCATGCAATTCATAATGTTACATGCATCTAATATCACATACAATTTCTGTGTTATCCAAATAAATGTTAGGATTCAAAGGGTTTTCTTCGCTGATGCTCTTTCAAGATATTTTCGTAACTTTCGAATAAGATAGTTAACATTTCATCTGAGTTTAACATTTTTATACAGTGCACAAATTTGAGCAGTGGTTAACTTCTCTGTGGATGGACTTGCAATTACATCCTAAAGCTTTATCCTTTATGCTAGCTAATAGCTTAAACCGATACGGCAGCCCACCATTCCAGATTTCAGCTAGGATGAGTAAACACTCTTGAAAAAGAAAAATGCTCCAGTTTCCTTACCTTTCATTCTTTGCTGATATAGAAGAATTGACACATTCCCATATGGCACATAAATTGAGGAAAAGAACCGAGGAACGCATTCTGAAACCCATAGTACTTTATTCATTTTTTCTTTACACGAGATATGATAATGACATAATGAATAATTGTTTTCATGCCTCCAATGAGAACCAAACCGAATTAAAAATTTTAACTTTAACACCATGCAGAAATGCAAACCTGCCATGACTCTTCATCTTTGAAAATGTACAGAAGATGTTTTTCCTTCACATCGGGCAGAGCCATCTTGCTCCTGTTGGAAGAATTCAAAAATCCAGTTTTCAGATTGTGAGTCGACTCATACATGCACATGAGTTGACTCATCAGGTTGAGTCACGACTCACGAAACCCAGCCGTCAATGTTACATTACACGCTGGGCGCTTCTAGGCGTCGGACTTGGCGCCCAGCGCTTAGTCGCCTAGGCGGACGCCTAAGCGGTTTCTGGGCGTTTTTTTTTCTTTCTTCATTTAAGTGGTGGTCGATGAGGTTTTGTTGAAGGTCGGAGGAGATAGTGGCGGTGTTCATATTTGGAGGTTAATGGAGTTTGGAGGACGTGTAAGCTACGACACAAAATCATAATCAAGACCTACAGGGTGCAATCCACGTAAGCAGACAATGCTCCCCTAAACGCTCGTAAAATCTAGGTGGGCAGCCTAAATACCGCCTAGGCGCTAGGCGCTAGTTAGGCGGCTTAGGTACCGCCTAGGCCTAGGCGTACGCCTAAGCGGACTAGGCGGAGGTTTTTTAAAACAGTGCCAGCCGTTTTGTCACAAGTTTTTGACGAGTCGACTCACCTCAGTCATGAGTCGACTCATCGATGGTTTGTGTTTTGTATGAAGTTTCTGACGAGTCGACTCACCTCAGTCATGAGTCGACTCATGTCGGGTTTTCAGCCTGTTTTGGTTTTCCTGTTTGGTTTGGGATTGATGTTTGATATAAATATCAACACGAGTTTAGGGTTTTAAGGTCCAACTAAGAGGGCTGTTTTGAGCAGCTATTCACAGGGAATAGAGCATCCTTTATAGGAGAGATTGTGAGAGAATTGAGAGCTTGGTTCTAGGATTTATTGGTGAGATTTTGTAACCCTATTTTGTATTTCTCTTTTTCTATTAGTAAAATCTTTCCCCCTTGCCCCGTGGACGTAGGCAATTGCCGAACCACGTAAATCTCTTGTGTTATTTGGTGATTGTGCTTGTATATTTTGGTTGTGATCTCTCTTGTTTGGCTTGTGTGTGATTCGACCGCTTCCGCCGCGCACAACAATTGGTATCAGAGTTTCGGGTTCGGCTTGAGGCTTGTTTGAATGATTCTCTGAAAAGATTCCTATTTGAAAAGTTAGATCGACAACATGGGTGAAGCAAGCACATCGGGATCGTCTCTTACGAAGACGATACATTGTTTGAGCATCAATAACATGAAGATCGATGTTCCGAAGTTTGATGGCAAGATCAATATTGGTTTGTGGAGGTGCCAAGTGATGGATACGTTGGATGTTCAAAATTTGAAAGAGACTCTTGAGTTGCAAGAGAAACCTGCTGATATGGAAGATAATGTTCGGAAGAAGATGAATAGTAGGGCGTGTGGAGTTATTCGGTCATGCTTAATGCCGGATCTTATTTATGATGTGATGAACGAGACGTCGGCGAAGAAGATGTGGGAAACACTCAATGAAAAGTATCTTACTAAGAGTCTTGAGAATCGGCTTCACTTGAAGAAGAGGTTTTACCAGTTCAAGATGAAGAGGGGGGTTTCCATCAGGGAGCATGTTAACAACTTCACGAAGTTACTTTCAGACATGACCAATGTGGATATAATGATTGAGAATGAAGACAAAGCGATGCTACTTTTGTGTTCGTTGTCTGAGGATGATTATGATACCTTTGTTCTCACTATGATTAATGAAAGAACGATTGTTAGCTACAAGGAGGTGACCTCAGCGTTGGTGAATTATGAGTTGAGGAAGAGTGTTGATGAGTCCTCCGAGAAGGCATCGGGAGATGCCTTAGTAGTTTAAGACCGTGGTTCAAACCGAAGCAGGAGGTCGCATTCTAGAAGTGCACATCGTGTGATTCGTAAGAATCAGTGTGCTTTTTGTAAAGAGGATGAACATTGAAAAGCTGAATGCCCAAAGTTAGATCGAGCCGAGAAGAATAAGGGGAAAGTTGTACAAGCTTCAGAGGTGAATATTGTCAAGACTAGTGGCAACAATTCTGATTCGGATTCTTCAGGCTATTCGTTATCTACACTACCGTCAGTTTGTGTTGTCAACTCTACAGAATGGATGTTGGATTCGAGTGCTTCTTACCACGTTTGTCCTAGGAGGGATTGGTTCTCCAGCTTTCAGAAGTTAAAAAGAGAGGATGTTGTGCTCATGGGTAATGGACATGCATGCTCTATTGATGGTATTGATACCGTTCGGATTAGGATGAGTGACGGGATGATACGAGAGTTGGATGCTGTAAGGTTTATTTCACAATTGAAGATGAACATTATTTTACTTGGAGCTTTGGAGACAACATGCTATATGGTGATCTTGGTGGATGCACGCTTGAAGGTCACATTGGGATCCATGATTGTGATGAAGGACGTCAGAAGGAGTAATTTGTATTATTTGCTTGGAAGCACAACGATTGATAGGGAGCTGACGACTTCATCAGATTCGGCTAGACTATGACGTTGTTTGATACTGGGTTATTTGATTGGTAATGCCGTGCATAGATTGTTGAAGAGTGTTTTGACCTGGAGTTTGAAGTCCTGTGAACCCATTGGTATGAGCAAGAAGATCAGGGTGGAGTTTGGCACTTCTATCCATCATTCGATAGGTCTTCTGAGGGGTGTTCATTCAGACATTTGGGGCTTTCCAAGGAAGCATAATTGGGAGGTAATAGGTATGTGATTTTCACAGTTAGGGATTATTTTAGGCATTGGTGGATTGCAACCATGTCCCGTTGGTGTGAAGTCCTAGAAGTCCACAACAATTGGAAGAAGTATGTTGGTAAAAAGGTAACCCGACGTTCGGTTTATGATAGGGGTTCTTTCTTGCGTTTGTGCCGAGCTTAAGGTAATTGGAGATACTTCATTGGTGTGGAAACTTTAAAACGACATGATGAGATGACAGATTTGGGGAGCTGTTCCTTTTTGGAGGAGGATCGGCGTTTGATGTCGAGCATTGGCATTGGTGTGCGGGCTACGATATGTTTGGGCCATCTTATGCATAGGTTACCGACTGCTGCATGTAGAGATTTTGGATCTGGTGGAGCTGCTTCAGATTTTAGGTTACGTCGGATGTTTGGCTACCCAACACTTGGTCACATCGTGGATGTGAGATTTAATCCGATAGCATATTTAGGTGTCAGAGGCGTGTTTGATTATCAGGTATTGGCTTCTGACTTTTTTCTGAGTAGGTATGTCACGTTTGACTCTCGGCAGGTGGAGAGTGGTGATCAGATCTTTGGGACATCACAGCGGATGAAGAGTGATGCTACTCCACGTTAGGTGAAGACTCCAGATTATACTACATCATTTGGAATTCCAGCTGATGTGATACAGATTAGGAATCGTGTTGATTTGGATGCAGATGATAGGTTAATCGATTCGAGTGCAGCTGATAGATGGAGTCTGGATATAACCATTGGTTCATCTCAGGTGGAGATATTTGGATTGTTTTAGTTTGGGACCATTGGAGGTGCTATCAGCCGTAGACTTGATCGTGATGTTGGAGAAGGGTTGCGAACTCCTTTAGTGGATTGAGACATTTGGAGGCCATTTGGTGAACTACGTGAGGCTTGATTCCTTGGACAAGAGGATACGTAGGCAGTCTTTATGATGTAGTCGTTTTGGATCCCGTTTTGGATTAGTTGTTTTGATGGGGGAAGATTGTTTGAACTCTCATTTGGATTCCCGACTTATTGTGGATTGAGTCCGTTGTCGTGAATTGTTTCACGACGTCCTGGACGCAACAAGTGGAATGTTTGTGGATGCTTTAGTGTCGGCTCAGTTTGGGAGTAACTTCGTTGAGGTGAAGAATTGTTGGAATAATTCAGAAATCCAGTTTTCAGATTGTGAGTCGACTCATACATGCATATGAGTCGACTCATCAGGTTGAGTCGACTCATGTCTGTCATGAGTCGACTCACGAAACCCAACGGTTTTGTCACAAGTTTCTGACGAGTCGACTCACCTCAGTCATGAGTCGACTCATCGATGGTTTCTGTTTTGTATGAAGTTTCTGACGAGTCGACTCATCTCAGTCATGAGTCGACTCATGTCGGGTTTTCAGCCTGTTTTGGTTTTCCTTTTTAGTTTGAGATTGATGTTTGATATAAATATCAACAAGAGTTTAGGGTTTTAAGGTCCAACTAAGAGGGTCGTTTTGAGCAGCTATTCATAGGGAATAGAGCATCATTTGTAGGAGAGATTGTGAGAGACTTGAGAGCTTGGTTCTAGGGTTTATTGGTGAGATTTTGTAACCCTATTTTGTATTTCTCTTTCTCTATTAGTAAAATCTTTCCCCCTTGCCCCGTGGACGTAGACAATTGTCGAACCACGTAAATCTCTTGTGTTATTTGGTGATTGTGCTTGTGTATTTTGGTTGTGATCTCTCTTGTTTGGCTTGTGTGTGATTCGACCGCTTCCGCTGCCCACAACAGCTCTCTCCTCGGCATTTAAAATATATAGTTGGTTTTGTAGGCAGCCATTCGTGAGTAGTATAAACTTCGATGGAACCAAGAGTAACAATCCTCGATGATGAAATTCCTGCAAAGTGCAGCAGCAAGAATGATCAATCTAGATTTCAAATTCAAAATGTTCCAACCTTCGCAAAAGGTTGCGATGAAAAGCGCTCAAATAGAAAGCCAATTGTCATTGCAGTGTGGTTAAGTTTTAAATCTTTTGACACAATTTACCAACCAAGGTGGACATCTTACATGGTTTCATAGCTTATGAATCAAATTACCATTTGCAATTCATTCCAGAAGATAAAATCCAACAATTTCGGTTCCAGAGCCACAGTAACGAAATTAGGGTTCAAGGGATACTTTCAAGTCCATTGAAATCCTCGCTATACATTAAATCATATTGGTTGAAATTGACAACAAGTGTAATCTGCAGCAGACTTTGGAATCAAGAAAATATCCTAAATTGAAGAGTAAATCGATGAGATCTGTATACATAGAATAAGAAGAAAGGAGCGATTTTTGATTACCCGGAAGAGAGCTGAGCAGGAGAAGAGAGAAGAGAGAAGAAAGGAGCGATTTTTCCATCACGTTATTTGATGAAGAACAAATGGAGGGTTGTTTCGTGGATGAACTCTCTCAGCTGAAGTCGGTTCTGCCACTAAACAGTTGCAACATTCTCGATCTCCGATTGAGCTTTTGCTTAACCATAGAACCCTTTTGCCCCTGTCTCTCTCTCTTTTTTTTCTGATTTATTTATTTATTTTAATTGCAAGAAACTTTATGTAATAACATTTTTAATCATAAATCCTTCAAGAACTTCGTTTGGATACCATTGTGTTTTCCTTATTGTGTTTTTATAAAAAAAACACCATGATGTTGTGTTTTTCCTTTAAAATGTTTTCAAAACATCATGTTAAGTATTTTTGATCAACACTAGTTTGACTCATTATAATATTAATATTAAACATATTATTAATATATTCTATATTAATTATAATAAAATATATTGTAAATAAAATATTATAATATTTAGTTTAGATTATTATACTATTATAAGTATTAAATGTAATGTAATATAATATTATATAATGTATTATAATATTATATTGTACTTTAATGAGTTATATTATATTATATTTATTATTATATTATAATTATTACATACTATTTTCAAATAATTATATATTTAATTATTTTGGTATATCAATTTGCTTATTTTGTATATATATATAATATTTTATAATAATGTTATTTTATTATTATATATAATATTATACTATTTTTAATATAATATAATATTATAATATTATTCATATAATATGATATTATTAATAATGTTAATATTATGTTATTAATAAATTAATATATTATAAATAATTTTAAATATATATAATATATTATAGTTTTAATATGTAAGAGTTTATTAATAGTACTTTAACAATATATTAGTATTTATGATATTAATAAATATTATTATATTATGAATATATTATTTTTACATTAACATTTATTTAACAAATAATTATTTTATTATTAAAATTATTTTATTTATAATAAATTATATTATTTATTACATAATATATTAATATTTTTATATATTATTTACATTTACTATATAATATGTTATTATAATAATATTATTATATTGTTGTGTAATTATTAAATATGTTACTATAATATAATATTTTATAATTATTAATTTATTTCAATTATTTATTAAAAAGTTAATCATATTATAGCCGATTAATTACTATTGTATAGTATATTATTATATTATTATTATATTATTATTTATTACCAATAACTTTATTATTATTATTTATTAGTTTATTTATATTTAATTATTAATTACTTATTATATAATACATTATTAACATATAAAATATTGGTATTTAATATGTTTTTATATAAGATAATTTATTTATTATATTTTTATATTATTTAATAAATATTACTAATATATTAAATTAACTATAATGTAGTATAGTGTATAGTATAATATAATAAGCATGTTGATAATAACTCTATATTAATTATATTTAATATATTATGTTAGATATTATATTAACACATTCTCAAACTCAAAACCAAAACATCAAACTTAAAACACCAAAAAGGTGTTTTGAAATAAGTGTTGTGTTTTTTGTTTGATGGTGATTTAGCTTAAAAACACCATGGTTTCCAAACACATTGTGTTTTGTTTTTGGCAAAAACACCATGGAAACAAGGAAAACACCATGATATCCAAACGGAGCCACTTGCAAAATAGATGATCATACAACACACCGTCTGTTTACAAATTTATACAACATACAAACGACAAGTATACCAAGCGCCTGATAGCTTATACATCGATCACGTAACACATCCAAGATGATGGTGGGGGAAAAAATGGGTTAATCCGCACTCAATACTTTGTGTTCGAGCTGGTAGGCCTTGGTGAAAAAAGCAGGCCAACACAAGTAAGTCGACAAGATGCTGCTCACTGTGGATGCTCCGATGAGCATATTCATCACAACTATTTGCAGCTGAATTGCTTCCGATGGAGAAGCTCCACCCATTATGAGGCCCGTCATTGCTCCTGGAAGAGAGATGAGACCTACAGTCTTAGCGTTGTCGAGAACTGGGGATAGTGCGATTACAAGAGATCTTTTTACTTGTTGGAGAGTTGCTTGTCTTGGTGTTGCACCTAGAGCGAGCGCTGTCTCAACCTTTCGGAACAAAAGATAAAAAAAAGGATCAAATTAATTTGGCGATAAATTTATGAGTTTAATAACTAAATTAATTGTTGTATGTGAATCATCTTCCCAGTTAAATGTATACTCTCCTAGAGTTCCTTCCATTCATGTTGAGGGCCCCTTTTCATGGATCAAAACTTGGGACTACTTTAAATTAAAGAATGAAACTATTTCCCCCCTAAACATCTGCTTTAAATGTGCACGCACCGGGATCGGAACCTGTGCTGCTTTGATATCATCTTAAAGTCACTTTCACCACCAAAATCCAGATTTATTGTGAGAGGGTTGAGAAAAATCATCAATACTCTACTAGGCTAATGAATGCATGTTCCTGTGTACAAAGTTCAGTCAGAAGGAAGTGTGGGAAAGGATCTGAAATTATTAACAAGAAACAAACGCATGTTCTTTCATTTACGATACTTCAAGGCTCTTTAAGAAATCTTTAGCTAGAGTTTTCTCCTATTTTAGAGTTTCAACACAAAATGATGGAAAGAAAGAGTTGAGGAATTACTTTTCGCAGAAAAATGGGTCAAAGTTAGAAGCTTTCTACTCATCAGATATTCAGATGGGGGGAAGTTTTCTCAGTTTGTACTGGCTTAACTGAATGAATATTCATTAATTGCATTGTAGAAAGAGATGGACTGGACATGGAATTTCAGATAGATGGTCTAAATAATAAACTAAACAATTGAATCTTTCAACATTATTACCTACGGATTCAAATATTACATAAGTAACTAATATTCTGTGCACGCGATGAGTGCTGGTACGAAGCCTGAGCAAGTATTGTAGTCAAATTGTCAAAGTAACAGACAATCAGCTTTTTTTTCAATTTTTTTTTAAAGATTGAGAACATTCCCTTTTTATTGCATTTTTCAAGTGTGAGGGCACTTAACCTTTTCTCCAAATATGAATGCATTCTTGGAATTCTAAACATGAAACTCACGCAACCAAAAAGGAGGCCTCTTTTAAATAATAGTAAAGATTTTGTAGACAAACCAAGTTTTTTTGTGTCTTGAGATCTTCTCGGAGCTTCTTCATGGTAACACCAGTCACAGTCATTGCATTACCAACCATCATACCGGCAACTGGAATTATGTAGCGTGGTGTGAAAGGAAACACGTTTAGAATGACGAGCAAAAACATGGTTACTGATGTTCCAGCCAATATCGAAACTCCAGCAATGTATTTTGCTCGAGGCACGTGCTTTGCGCGTTGCCCTGCTGTATAGCCAGCAACTGATACCTAAGAAAGACACATACAAAAGATCTGTCACAATGATAGAGCTTATTTGTTACCTTTATAATAACGGATGTATACTCAAGCTTATGTAGCTGGTCAAGGTGAACAATCAACTAAGTAAAGCATCGGCTATATATAGAGTATATCCTTCCAATATCAGAAACCAGCTTAAAAGATGGCTTCCGTTGAACCTAAAATCAGTCTGACCATTGCTTACGGGCTTCCTATATAAGATGCTTCTGGCCCTGATAAGGGATAAACATGGTGAATATAATCTAAAACAGATACTTCTGACAAGTGAAATCCTAAAGTTAACAACATAATCTGTAGTAGTTCGAAATTTCCGTGGTGATGAGACTTTTACTATCAAAACGTTAGTTTCAAGTTTCAACCATATGAACATATTATATATCCCAAGTTTGCTCTCAATGCTTGGAATGCCTTTAGCAACTATATCTTTTGACGGTCTACTTTTGCGCATTGTATCTTCAGTTGACAGATTTACCATCCAAGTTCATGTATTAATAGAAATCGGCCTCAATCGAAAAGGATAATATGTGGACTAGATGTTTCTAGATGAAGATTCTATCTTGCAATTCGAGAAGACTTCTTAGCCGACTGATTTCATTTGGAAAAAAATATATATGAGCACTGTCTTATATTAACGCAGCGCGGAAGTAAAAACCTTGGAATCTACCAAGGGTGTTCTCTGAACCCACAAAGAACGATCTCTGAATCCACAAAGAAATATTAAAAAAAAATTATTAATGAAAAGATATTGTTCTTTGGGGTTACATGACTCTTCTTAAATAGAAAAGTAAATAAGACTCCTAGTAAGACTAGAATTACAAAGAAATAAAAAGTATCAAATTCTATCTTTAAAAGACTCTTTATAATAGAGGAAACAAATCATGAATCAAAATTAAATTTATTTCCTAATCTAATTTGACTCTAAAATTGAATTTATTTCCTAATCTAAATAAACTCCAACTTTATTACTAAAAATAAGCTAAAAGCTGATTATTTTCGGATTTTAGCCAAAACTGGATATTACTGATGAGATTTTAAAAATCCGACAATCTAGTTGGTTCTGTCTCGTCGAAATAGGCGATTTACATATATAATATGTCAGAATTCCCCTTCTAGGTTGGAATATATGATTGTTTCTTTGCGAAAGTCAATAATACGTATAAATCTGTATTTAGCTAGTGATTGTCAGAATCCTCCATGAAATTGTCTGTTAAACATCCTACATCAGTCTCCCCTTGTTGAAAGAAGCTCGATCTCGAGCTTATATTTGTTAGAATAGTAGCTTCATTATTAAATAATTTTCTTCTCTTGTAATGATCAGCATCCGTCTTGTATTTAGCATTGATTTTCTTCATTTGTTCTTTTACCTCCTCTGCTAGGACTTCTTCTGTATCAAACTTGTGTATGAATTTTTCCCATGACATATGTACGCAATTGGCAACATGTGGCTTTGTAGTTGATATGAAAAACTCTTCCAAATATTTTCCCTGTTACTTCCCACATTCTAGTGTCGGCGGTATCATCTCATCGTTGTTGAAATTATTGATGATCATTGCTTCCAAAAAAAAAATTTTCCTCATAGTCCATACATAATTCTTTCATCTTCTTTGCCTCGAGCTCTCCACCAAGCAATTCACACATACCATCAATTGCCTCACTCTCTATTTTATCATTCTCCTCCATCAGGGCATCGTTAATATATGTAATATCGCTCATAACCTCTATGAAAATATCATACATAATATCTATCTTCACTATCATACTCCCATCAGCATCATGAATCTCATGCATAATGAGTATTTGCACCTTAGGAGGAATTTTGGTAGGGGTAAGTTCTTCTTTTTCAGTTACAACTAAGTCATAGACCTCTTCAGATTGCTTTAAGTTTTCTCCTAAAGCCTCGTTGTTTGTCACCAAGAGTCTTTTCTTCTCAGTAGTCTTTATCTTAAATGACTCATTTTCTGTAAGAGGCATAAATACAATTCGGCGTCCATCTTTCTTGAAGATACAAGTATTGTCTCTGCTCCTATGGGTAGCTCCAATATCAAATTGTCATGGCCTACCTAAAAACATATGACAAGTATCTATCTCGACCACATCACACAAAACCTCATCAACATAATTGCGGCCGATAGAAAAAGGAATCCAACACATCTCATCGTTCTGCACATCATTGCCCTTGTGAATCCAGTCAATCTTGTAGAGAGGTGGGTGTTTCTCTGTCTTCAAACCTAACTTATTCACCATACGCCGAGAAACAATATTCTTGCTACTGTGACTATCAATAATAACATCACAAATCTTCTACATCACAGTGCATCTCGTGCGAAAGATATTGTGCTCCGGAGGTGGTTCTTCTTTCTTTATTGCTTCTTTAGTGCTCTTCCTAATTTCAAGGTCTTGTTTAGGGTCATTGTCGCTGTTGAATTCATTCTGTGGAGTCAGATCACGTCGCTGGCGACCATCAACGCGATTTCGAACTCCTATTGTGTTCAAATGCTCAACTGCTGACGCAAGTCTTTCTATGGTAGTCTTCATATGATTAACATCGGTTTTCAACTCATCGAACTTAATTCGAGAAATAGGGGCTTCATCGTCTGCCATCGGATCAGAGGAACATGTCTTTGATACCAAGTAACACAGTGCGGAAGTAAAAACCTCGAAATTCACCAAGAGTATTCTTTGAATCCATAAAGAACGATCTTCGAATCCATGAAGAAATATTAAAAGAGAAATTTTATTGATGAAAAATATTGTTTTTTGGGGTTACATGACTCTTCTTAAATAGAAAAGTAAATAAGACTCATATTAAGACTAGAATTATAAAGAAATAAAAAGACTCCCTATAATAAAGGAAACAAATCATGAATTAAAATTGAATTTATTTCCCAATCTAATTTGACTCTAAAATTAAATTTATTTCCTAATTTAAATAAACTCTAACTTTATTACTAAAAATAAACTAAAAGCTGCTTATTTTCGGATTTCAACCCAAACTGGATATTACTGTTGAGATTTTAAAAATATGACAATCTTAGCTCTGTCACGTCGAAATAGGCGATTTACATATATAATATGTCAGAATCCGTTTTTAGGTTGGAAGATATGATTTTTTTTTGCGGAAGTCAATAATACGTATAAATCTATATTTAGCTCGTGATTATCAAAATCCTCAATGAAATTGTCTGTTAAGCGTCCTACATCGTATATTTGACAGAAACAACCCAGATCATTAGGTGTTTTTTGTCTGAAGCTTTATGCTGATAAAAAAGAAAACCCCCCATGAGCTTTCTTAGATTTGACAAGAAAAAAAACCCAAATATGAAATGAATTAGAAATAAGAAATAAAAAAAAAAGATTATTTTGGGGATTTTCAGGCCTGACCATCATTCAGAAGCTACAAAAGACTGAAGAATGGCCTAATGAGGAGCTCAATACAAGATATTTGTCCAGTGCATTGTAAACCCAAATGCACTTACTCGCCAAAAACTCTTATCTTTTTAGCTAATCAAGCTGAACTCAAGAAGAAGACAAAGGATTTACCATGAACAAGTAAGCAAGAACGATCCAGCCAGCGTTTTCCTGAGTGAAGATGAACTCGAGCACGAACCCAATCGCCGACAGCTGAAGAAAAGCTCTGGCGACCGAATAAATCATCTCCCCTTCCAACTTCAGCTTCTGCGAGAAGGAGAGGACGACCGCCATTAAAACCACCTTCAAAACTTAGAAAAAAAAACAAATTTAAAGGAGATTTCTCACCTCCAAGCAATTCTCCAATGCGGATGGGTAGATGTTTGTCAGCTATGCGAAGCAGGAGGGGGAAGTGAAAGAGGGATANTAAAACCACCGCCGTCGCCGCCACCGGCTTCAGCATTCCGGTGAGGAACTGGGTCCAGAACGACGAGTCCCAAAAATCCATGGATTTAATTGAAATCTAGAGAGAGAGAAATTGATTTTGTCGATGAGAGGAGAGTGGGGTGAGTTGACTTGTGAATCTATATGATGACGGAATCTTTTTATGAATGAAGCCTGAAAATGGGTATCTTTTTGAAGTCTGGGTTTTTTTTGGCCCGGCTGGATTCGGGGAAAGATTAACTAATGGCGGTAAGATAACAGAGGGGGAAGGATTACTGAGAGCATTGCTTGGAAATTTTGGATTATGGTCTGCTTGTGAGTGACGATTAAAGTGGATCAAGATTTTAAGTCTGTGATAAAAAGAATTATTTATATAGGTCATACATCTTTTGCTAAAATTACAGAAATAATTCTTAAAAGTGGAGGGGGTAGTATTTCGAAGTAACAAATGGTCTAATCAAATTAATCTTTCTCCTTATCCCATGTACGTTTGTGCGGATGCAAGTCAAATTAGAAATAAATTCAATGTTTGTATTATCTAGATATTCTCTATTTGCTAAATAAAATTTCTCTAAAGATCATATTTCTTCTTCCTAACAATATTTAACGCTATTCAAACAAAAAATTTGAATTAAGTTAAAAGGAGTATTTTTGATAACCCCTAAGTGGTAGTTTTCTGATATTTTGAAAGTTATTGGGGGCTGTCTTGTAATCGTCCAAACTTAAGTTTTTTTTTTTGATATTTACCCCAAAAAAGTATTCTCCGCCGTCGTTTGTTTTAGAAAACGAGCGAGCCCAGTTCAGGGCTCAGACAAAGCTTATAAATGTTCTTTTTGGGCCCAAGAGTGATCCAAGCGATCCGGCCCATTTATGTTTCAGTTCTTCTTCAGTTGGCCTACCCTAAACTGTGAAGAGACGAGATCACCTGCGCGCTCCTCTTCCGCCAAAAAAAAAAGAAGGGAGAAAATGTCAAAGCTCTGTTTGATGGCGAAGAACGCCCTAAAATCTAGGGTTTCGCCTCTCAATTCCACTCGAATCCTTCCATCATTTCGAAGCTTTTCGACCGAAGGAGGAGAACCTCAGCAAGATTCCTCTTCTTCCGCTGATCCCTTTCTCCAACCTCCTCAAGGTATCTTTGATTCTCAACCTAGGGCTTAGGGTTAAGGTTTATGTAATCTTATTTGATGAAGTTATTTCATTCTGATCGCATTTAGGGTTTTAATGGGGGTTTACTACAAATTACCACTTGTTTGTCGATAAGTGTTAAGATGTAGGAGGTTGGGAATTTTGCATTTTTAGGATTAGAAAAAAAATGTTATTTTCGATTTCTACACTGCAGCTCTTGCAATTTCTGTGCTTAACAAGACTTTGATTTTGTTTTTCATGGAGAAGATATTGTATTCACTAGTTTATACCTCGAAAATCTGTACTAATGTAGAAAAAAAAGTTAGTAGGAGTAGGGAAAAAGTTTGAAGGATTGGAGGAAATCTCCTCATTTCAACTATAGTTGAGAGGGCAAAGATAATCTCATATGGGAATTTTTTTTTTCCTTTTCTTTCTCTTCCTTTTCCTTCTAGAATATTCCATATCATACCCTGAGATGACATGTATATGGAATTAGGACAGACATTCATCATATTTTATATTATAAAATGAATAAGAAATGATAAGTTTGTTTTAGAAAAATAATAAATATCTACCTATACTATTATAAATATAAATAGAATAACGAAGAGAGTGAAAAGTGTAAGAAGAATGTAAACACCATGTTTACCCTGCTTTTCTTTTCAAAACAACGAGTATCATCTTGCATTCTCTCTCCATATGTTTGGAGTATCAAGTGCGCTCTTTCTTTACACTAGCTTGTTAGTATGTGCAAATGTACTTGCGAGTAAGTTTCTACCAACTCTATCCTCTTTCATGTGTTAATTATTATGATGATTTAATGCGTTGGACTTAGGTATACGGTTAAAAATAGAAAATGTATCAAGGACTATTTTTAGTATTTAACTGATATATTATTGTAACAAAAGAAGAAATCGAGGGTTTTAGTGATATCATAATTGGAGCAGGTGATTTAAAATCAAAATATAAATAAGAAAATAAAATTTATAATGAACTTGCCTTTGGATCATGTACAATTCGACCCGAGAATTACCAAATTCTTGTTGCTAGCTCAAAACATTTTCACTTGGTAGAAAGTACATATATGATTAAATATGTTATTTTAAAGAAAAAAAGAATGATATGCAATAAAGTTTTGTAAAATTCTTAACATGTATGTATGCTATGTTTATAATTTTAAATAATGATATATTTTTATAACCAAATTTGTAATTTATATGCACAAATTTTTTAAATTTAAAAATTCAAATATTAATACTTTAATAATTTCAAAATTATTAGTGTGAGAATACTTTGAACTTATAATATTTGCTTTTGTGTTTTATACTCTAGGCCTAAGTGTTTACATTTAAATATTAGTTTATTTAATTTCTAATAAAATATAAAGCTGAGAGAAGGTGGCAGAGGGCTGAGAGAAGGTCCTAGAACCCACTTGAAGTGAAGAGAGCTGAGAAGAGAGTGGGTCCTGCACCCATTATGATAACATGAAATTACAAAACTACTCTTCATCTATACTAATCTATTAAAAACCAATGAGGGCCATCCAGGTTTGAAGGACGCCTTTCTCTCCATCCAAAATGTGGGGCTAATTTGGTAATTTTACACCATATTTTATCACCATAGCTTTGGCACTGATTCCCATATTACCCCAAAATCCTTACATTCCCACATTAATAATTAATGCATCTCTCCTCTCTCTCTTAATGTAAAAAATAATAATTTGTAAGCAAATCCTTACATTGTATAAACCTATAAAAGAGACCAAAAAAATAAGAAATGTTAAAAACATAGAGTCATGGATTCAAAAAATACCAAACACACTTCTCACTACTTCAAATTTTGGAATGGTAAAAAAATATAATTTTAATTTCTAAACAGGTAAAATTTCTAGATATTATTAATTTTGCACATAATTTTATACAAGTAATTAAAGCACTTAGACGTATAAGTTTGAATTGTAGTCAATTTTAAATTTATGAACAAATACAAGCAAATTTTGATCCACTCTTGAACATTATGTTAGAGAATAAATTTACATGTCTAACCTTTCATAGGTTCAATTTAAAATATGTTAAAATCAAGTTTATAAAGAAATAATAAGTATGTTAACAAAGATTGTAACTAAACTACCCTCACGTCTATTCTATCAAATAATATCATATTTATCCTTAAGTATTTTATGTGATGGATTACCTAATCTTTGAAAAAAAAGGTTTTCTACACATGATGTAGTACCTAATTTTCAAAATAATATCAAAGAGGATTTTGAAATATTCACTTGTACCAGTAAACCATTATATTTTCATACTTATAATGGTTGTATGACCACAAATATATAAAATATAAAATATCGTTTTATGGTTTACAATGTTTACTTTAGATTTAATTTATTTTTTTAAAATTTTAGAGTGACATTTAATTTTTTTTTATGTATCATAACTCTATTGTATCTAAAGATTTTAAATTGATTTTCAAAAAGTTATTTTGTGTTTTTTTCTAGCATGTGCATTACACACGTGCATTTAATCTAGTGTCAAATAAGTAGTTTGAATGAATGTGACATGTCCTTCATATTTTACTGCCCTCACCACGTTTTAATAGATTAGTATAGATATAAACTTTCTATTTTTCATATAAGTCCTTATAAACTAAAATTACAATAGCAAAAAAAAAAAAAAACATATCATGTGCATTTGCATGTGCTAAAGTTCTAGTTTTCCAGTTGTAAACCTAAAAAAAATCCGTGCTTAGTGTGAACACATTGTGCAAACTAATTTAGGGGATAAGAATATTCCTTTCCATTTGAAAGTCAATGCATATTGGTTTTAAGAAAAAAAATATTTATCATATTAGAAGACTTATGTGGGTTTAGTGGTTAACTGATATGGTGCGGCAAGCGGAGGAGGATTTATTGGTATTTACTTATTACATGTGTAGAAGGGTTCATCTTTAGGTAATATATGAGAATGGGTTCGGCATTGGGGGAAAATGTTGAGAATGATGGATTTTCTACAGTACATGGGATTTCTTATGTCTTTGTGCTCTGTTCTTTTGTTAAAAAAATTTGGTGTCATCATTATCTTTTGCAATTTATTTTTTTCTTGTACATGATCACTTTTTATGTTTGATATAGTTTATTAAACTTGTTAATCTAGTCTCATCTACAGACAAACACTATGCCTTACATGTTTCAATTTGTTTTGCAACCAGGTTTTGTTTTTGGGAGGGTGAATATTCAAGCAAAGTATATGCTGAAGACTGATATTATTCATTACTTTGAGGGCTGTGATCTGTCGCCTGCTAATGTTAAAGTCGAATACAACAGGGCGTACAATCCAACTGGCATGTCCGTACACTTCGTCCTCTTCTCTTGATTTTTTAATAGTTTTGTGCTTTCAGTTTTGTCCAAATAAACGTACAAGAAGATTCTTGCAGTTTCATAGATGATTTTCTACTAATCTCACATCCATATCAGTGGTTAATTTTGCAGTTTGACCTTTGTTTTGATACTTGTTGTAATAGTAAACTGATAGTTGTTGTCATTTAATTTTGTCATTAAATAGGATAAGTAAAAGGTTTAAAATCTAATGCAATAGACATCAATGGCCTCAAGAAAGGTTTAACATCTTCTGACTACAAGCCTAGGGCCTGGGGCTGAAATTCTTGGGGCTGAAATTCTGTCTTGATCTTGAGCTTTAAAGGATAATGAGTTTGAAAGTTGAAAAAAAAGTAGCAAGGAGCATGTCTTAAAGTCATACAAGAAGTGTGAGATCAAACAATAAAGACAGTTACCTTTAAATAATTTGTGGTCTAAAAAGAATCTCATTTCTTCCTTTTATTAGATTCTGTATTGAGCTCAGATGATTATTGTACAACCATGTTGGGCAACAGTCAGCCGTCATAGCTCTTTGTCCTCTGTACACCTCGCGATAAGTAATAGTTGTAGGCGTCAAAAAATACTGAAAGATATCCAAATACAGCTCAAGAGGAGATCATCCAAAAATCAAAAAAGGACACAAATATAGGCTGTCTCGAGGCTGTCTCGCACGCGAGACAGTCTTTACTGTCTCGCCATCGCAGCGAGACAGTGTTTACTGTCTCGCCAGCGAGACAACTTTGAGATGATTGAAAATGGTTGTATAACTGCAGACACGTGTCTATTAACTGTCAAAGAACATGAGGAACGTCGTGGGCGAGAATCACGTGGATAACTATCAAAATAACGGAGTTTGAAACGTGGGAAGACAGTTACGGCGGAAACCGCTGAGCAGTTGGGTTTTCCGAGACAGTGTTTACTGTCTCGGAACCCGAGACAGTAAACTCTGTCTCGGCCGCCGAGACAGCAAACACTGTCTCGGTAGTCAAGACAACAAATGCTGTCTTGCGAGCTCCGTCGAGACAGCAGATGCTGTCTTGCGGGCACATTTTCTCTAACTGTTCCTAGGGATTATAAATACCCCACTGAGATCGATTTTTTTAAGGGGCTGATCAGAGAGCACTTGATAGAGCAATCCAGAGCAGAGAGAGAGCAGAGTTCCTGAGCTTCTGGCAATTTCTTGAGATTCGAGCTTTGACTTGATCTTAAGAAGAGTGATCATCTTACTTTGATAAGATATTCACTTCAAATTCCTACTTCGATAAACGAAGGAAGAATCACTAAACCCCTCACGATTCAATCAGAATCTGTGATTCGGTGGTCCACGAGTCAAAGCGTTCCCGGCACAGGCAAAGATCTCGCGCAAGCAGCGATCCAAACAACGATCCTGCGTTTGTTTCTAAAAAGTTATAATTTTTTTTTGTTGTGTAAAAGAAGTCTTATAAAAAGGCTATTTCTTTTGAATTTGTTGTAATCGACCGAAGATATAATGAATTCCACAACGAGACCAACTTTTGACGTAAATAAACTGGCGACCACAGTGGGAGCCAACGGTTTCGCTGAAAGCACCGAGACCGTCGTGTCGCAGCCGATCAAGATTCCAGTTGAATCCATGGTCGAATACGAATTCGACCAAACCAAGTTTGAGGAATATCTCTCATCATCCTCTTCAAGATCTTCATTGTCTCGCAAGTACAAGAGGATCTCACCATTGAAGAAGACTTACATGTCAAAGAAGGCACAAAATGAAGACTCTCGCCTGATTGTTGCTGAGGATTCTACTCGCAACATCTCTACTCGCGATGACTCTTATCTAGTTAAAGAGTCATCGAATCAAAGCCCATCGACACTGACGAAGAGGGCTCGTCAGAGACAACGTCAGCGCCACGCTCGACAAATAGCTAAGACCTTGGAACAAACCGACGGGGTTCGTTATCATGCGCACCTAGAGTCGAGGAGGCATCGAGTGGTTCAGTTGTCTTGACAACCAATCACTCATATCTCTGCTAAATTAATGATGGATGAATGGACTTTTGTCAAAAAAGCTCGCTCAACCCTCAAATAACGTATACAAAAGCGTCGTGCAAACGCTGCTCATTTCCGTGCTCTCTTACAACAAAGACGAGAAAGAAAAAAAGAAACGGTGGTCAAAGAACCACCAAAACTCTGCAAAGTTTGGATTCCAAAGTCAGGAGTTGTGCAAAATCAGAATTCGGAGCCCGTTAAGACTCCGCACCCACAAGAGGGTGGTTCTAAACGTGTGACTCCCGATATAACCTTGGACCGCTCAAAGACAATAATAAGTTGTCCTGAGAATACCAACAAGGTTTTACATCCTCAGAAGAAGACATGTTCGTCAAAAGGCATCGTTATACCTAGGAGGTCATACCAACAGACGATAGAATTCTCCAGTAATCATACTGATGAGTCATACTATCAAACTGGGGTTGTGAACAAAACTCAAAAGAGGATTGTCCGAGAAATGAGCTCTCATTGTTTCTGTATGCGACTCATTAGAGCAGTACCGTCGGAATGTGACTACTCCAAACGAGAAGCCATCCCGCAAAGAGTCTCAGTGTTCCAAATGCTTTTCACCGAAATATCGAAGCCTAAGCCGAGATATTTCCACAAGAGAAGATTAACTGTCCAAGATGACGAATTCCCTGAAATCACCATCAACATGGCTGATAAAGGAAAATTTAAGCGGCATTCAAGTGAATCAAATCCCGACTTTTTCCCAGGAGGAAAAGTCAATTCAAGAATTGCCCAACGGATGTCTCGACTCCAGTTAGGAGCTATCAGACGTAGAGATTACAAGAGAATGCATAAAGGAATGTCTTCGGAGGACGAACTCTCGGACACTTGTTCTGCGATCGCTTCTGATAATACAATGTCTAGCACGGGACAAACCAAAGAAGTGTTCACAATCACTTCTGATCAGTTTGCTCAAATGCTTCAAGAAGCTCTAGCCAAGCAACGTGAAGAAATTAGAGCTGAGATGAAGACAGAGATGGAGTTGGCTATCCAACAAATGAGAGAATTGCTAGCTCAACGGTCTCAATCTCCTGAGTCCAGTCAGCGAGTTGAATCCAGCCACCATACTCAGAATGTTGTAGATGACAGTGATCCAGAAGTGGATGAAGTCATTATAGCTGATACACCTCCCAATGACAATAACACTGGGGGTGATTCAACGGATTCTCCCAATAACAACATTAGGGGTGGTTCAATTTCACCTCTTAATAACACTGAGGGTGGCCCAATTATTTCTGCTCAACATCACTCAAAGAGAGATGAAGATGAGGACAAGAAAATGCAAGACCTTGAAAACAAAGTCAATGCTTTGATGTCCGCTCAGGAGGTAAAGAAGACGGGTATTCCGTATCTCTATCTAAGAGAATAGGATTCAATACCGTACCCGATAAAGTTCAATCTAATTAACTTCACGGACAAATTTTCAAAACCGACCCTTTTTGGTTTTTATTTGTAAAAAACAACCCGTTTTGAAAATAATTGTAAAAACCGACCTGTTTTCAGCCAGGCGCTGAAAACAGGTCGGTTTCTGTAAAAAAATTTCTAAAACTTCACGGGAGTTCAACTCCCGTGAAGTTTAGTGTATTTTTAAACTTCACGGGAGTTGAACTCCCATGAAGTTTAATTTGTTCTTAAATCTTCACGGGAGTTGAACTCCCGTGAAATTTTTACCGTTTATATGTTCACACGTGTGCTGGCGACAAGGGAAAGGCCATCTTCCAGCGAAATATGTATTCTCGTGAACCTACTTATTTGTGTGCTTCTTTGACAAGTGGACATAGAAATGGACATCTTCCAGTGATGTTCACATCGTGAACCTACTTATTTGTTTTCTTCTTTGAAAAGTGGACATAGAAAAGGCCATCCAATGGAGTTGACCGATGGCCTTTTCAATGATTTTTGTCCTGGAGCTGAAGGGCGAGATAAAGGACCGATGGATTTTACAGTGTTTATTGGCCTGGAGTTGTAGGGTGAGATAAAGGATCGATGGATTTTACAGTGTTTATTGTCCTGGAGCTGTAGGGTGAGACAAAGATGTTTTCGCCAGGGTGGAGATGTGGGGCCCGCAAGGCTCTGGTTGGAGCTACACGTGTGCTGGCGACAAGGGAAAAGCCATCTTCCAGCGAAATCTGTAGTCTCGAGACCAGTCCATCAGCATCGCGGCGTGGAGTTTTGGAACTATAATAAACTTCACGGGCGTGAAGTTTGTTTCAGTAATAAAATTTCACGGGAGTTCAACTCCCGTGAAGTTTCAGATATTTTTTTGTAAAAACCGACCTGGTTTCAGCTCTGTTCACGGGAGTTCAACTCCCGTGAAGTTTCAGATATTTTTTTGTAAAAACCGACCTGGTTTCAGCTCTGAGGCTGAAACCAGGTCGGTTTTTACAATTATTTTCAAAACGGGTCGTTTTTTACAAATAAAAACCCAAAAGGGGTGGTTTTGAAAATTTGTCCTTAACTTCACACCATTTGATGGGAAGAGCTCGCCTACTCAGCACTTGATTTATTTCAAGTCTTATTTGGGCACGATCTCTGAAAATGAGGTTTTAATGGTCCGGTCATTCGTTGGCACCCTTCGTGGGTCGGCCTTCGATTGGTATCAGCGTCTCAAGCCAGGGAGCATCAATTGCTGGGATGACATGAAAAGTTTATTCCTCGGCAATTTCTTCGATGATGATACCGAAGTGTCAATCGGAACCCTTCTGGATGAGAAGCAAAAAGACGAAGAGTCAATCGATAATTTTGTCAAGCGCTTCCGTAACAAAGCAATGAATTGCAGAGATCCTGTTACAGAGGAGTTCATCCTGCAAACATGTCACAATAATCTCTCAATCGATGTCCTGGAAGCCCTGGAGGTCGTACCATTCACCACTTGGAAAGAGTTAAAACTACGTGGCGAACAAGCTGAACACTTTCTTAAAAGAAAGAAAGTTGAGAGAGGTCAACCGACGACATCCGCAATTTCTGTGAACGCGACTCTCGATCCGAGGTTCCAAAAGGAGTATTCTTTCGAAGATGATGAAGCTCCAGCCATCTTAAAATACCTCCTCGCCAACGACAAGATCGAGCTATCACCTATTAAAGATTAGGAGCGAGCTAAAAGGATTACGGATCCAAACTACTGTGCGTACCACAGAAGGGTTCTTCATCCCACTAAGATTTGCTTCGGACTCAAAAACAAAATCCAAGCCTTAATTGACCCCGACGTCATAACGGCGAAACAAGCCGAGTAAAGACGACTCTTACTCCATTGGATACACGAGTATAAATTATTTTCCCCTAACTTCAAAGAGTATACGAGTATAAACTGCTTCTTCATGTCACTCCGAAGAGTATACGAGTATAAACTGCTTCTCAAAACTCCATTGGGTGCGCGAGTATAAACTGTTTCCCCTCACTCCAAAGAGTATACGAGTATAAACTGCTCCCCGATACTCCAATAGGTATATGAATCTAAACTGTTTCTCACTCTTGACGGGAAGTTCCTGGAGAATTTTTACATGTAATATTCTTAAGGATAACCCGGTCATGTAATTCAGTATGATGTTAGACCCCGTTTCGCGAAGGAAGCTGGGGGTGGATGGTTCATGTAACGGGAAGTTCTCGGAAGAATGCTATATGTAATTTTCTTAGGGATAACCCGATCATTACAAACAAAGTGATAAACACTACATCTCCACGGTGATTTCCGAATACTCTTTTGCTGAGATGAGATTCGATCACTTCTTTAGATCAATCTTCCCTCACAAAACTCATCCGCTCTCAATTCCTTCCATGAACGAGAGGTCCACAAATCGAACGATCAAACCTTTCTACAATTAGGATCGTCTCAAAACTCCCATTTGATCAAACATTTAAACAGTTAGGACCAAAACCAAAATCCCCTCTCGATTTCTTCAATGAACGAGAGGTCCACAAATCGAACGATCAAACCTTCCTACAGTTAGGATCGTCTCAAAACTCTCATTTGGTCAAACCTTTAAACAGTTAGGATCAAAACCAAAATTCCCTCTCGATTCCTTTCATGAACGAGAGGCCTAAAAATTGAACGATCAAACCTTTAAACAATTAGGATCGTCTCAAGTTCCCATTTGGTCAAACCTTTAAACAGTTAGCACCAAAACCAAAATCCCCTCTCGATTCCTTCAATGAACGAGAGGTCCACAAATCGAACGATCAAACCTTCCTACAGTTTGGATCGTCTCAAAACTCTCATTTGGTCAAACCTTTAAACAGTTAGGACCAAAACCAAAATCCCCTTTCGATTCCTTCAATGAACGAGAGGCCCACATATCGAGCGATCAAGCCTGCCTACAGTTAGGATCATCTCAAAACTCTCACTTGGTCAAACCTTACTACAGTTAGGACCACAACCAAAATCTCCTTTCGATTCGTTCTGACGAACGAAAGGTTCACTTTTGAATTGAATAATCAAACTTTATGACAGTTAGGATTATTCAAACCAATCCAGATTCTCTAAGTGAAAATCCCACTTCGAGTTTTCTTTGCACCAGGAGATAGAATATAAAATTCTTCCTCTCCAATTTTGGGTTCATCTCTACCAACAAACAAGAGACCAGGAGATAGAATATAAAATTCTTCCTCTCCGATTTCGGGTTCATCTCTACCAACAAACAAGAGACCAGAAGATAGAATATAAAATTCTTCCTCTCCATCATCGGGTTCACCTCTACCAACAAAAAAGAGACCAGAATACTCCAATAGGTATACGAGTCTAAACTATTTCCTAATCTTAACAGGAAGTTTCTGGAGAATATCATTCAGAATATTCTTAAGAATAACCTGAATACTCCAATAGGTATACGAGTCTAAACTGTTTCCTAATCTCAACAGGAAGTTTCTGGAGAATATCATTCAGAATATTCTTAAGAATAACCTGAATACTCCAATAGGTACACGAGTCTAAACTGTTTTCCTATCCTCAACAGGAAGTTTCTAGAGAATATCATTCAGAATATTCTTAAGAATAACCAGAATACTCCAATAGGTACACGAGTTTAAACTGTTTCCCTACCTTCAACAGGAAGTTTCTAGAGAATATTAATCTGAATATTCTTAAGGATAACCTGACAAACTTTCAATGGATGTATGCGTATCAGTTTGGTGACAAAAGCTGAGCTCACAAGAACAAATACCAGTTTCGATTCAAGATCTCGACAACGGTCAAGCGATAAACATAGTACCGGAAGAATCTTAACTATTCTACAAAGCACTGGATAGATTGAGAGATAAAGAGGTTAAGAGTTGAACTCATTTACGAGCCCCTCTCCACGATCAACTCAACCAAGTATTGAAGGGACTGTGAGTCACGCCTATCTTATCCAAAGTAATACAGACTCCTCTATAAAAGAATTAGTCTGGAATACTTTGGTGGGGGTATCTGTAAGCGTAAAAAAATACTGAAAGATATCCAAATACAGCTCAAGAGGAGATCATCCAAAAATCAAAAAAAGACACAAATATAGACTGTCTCGCACGCGAGACAGTGTTTACTGTCTCGCACGCGAGACAGCTTTGAGATGATTGAAAATGGTTGTATAACTGCAGACACGTGTCCATTAACTGTCAAAGAACATTGGGAACGTTGTGGGCGAGAATCACGTGGATAACTGTCAAAATAACGGAGTTTGAAACGTGGGAAGACAGTTACGACGGAAACCGCTGAGCAGTTGGGTTTTCCGAGACAGTGTTTACTGTCTCGGAACCCGAGTTCCTGAGCTTCTGGCAATTCCTTGAGATTCGAGCTTTGACTTGATCTTAAGAAGAGTGATCATCTTACTTTGATAAGATATTCACTTCAAATTCCTACTTCGACAAACGAAGGAAGAATCATTAAACCCCTCACGATTCAATCAGAATCTGTGATTCGGTGGTCCACGAGTCAAAGCGCTCCCGGCACAGGCAAAGATCCCGCGCAAGCAGCGATCCAAACAACGATCCTGCGTTTGTTTCTAAAAAGTTATAACTTTCCTTTTGTTGTGTAAAAGAAGTCTTATAAAAAGGCTATTTCTTTTGAATTTGTTGTAATCGACCGAAGATATAATGAATTCCACAACGAGACCAACTTTTGACGCAAACAATAGTCTACATCAAAAATATGTACTTGATGCATTTCTATGAATAATCTGAACTGGCTTGGAAGGTAAATTACCTTTCCAGTAAATAATTTGTCCCTATACTCTGCTAAAGTTACAGCCAAACAAGCAGCATGTCTAGCTTCAATTACCATGATTAATTTCAATGAGTGCACGAGGAGCCTTTACTTCAACTGCCTGTTTAACAAGGTTTACATTCTCTGAGAAGAGGTGGATCTGTTACTTTTCAGACCACAGCCTCAAGTTCTCATTTCAAGTGCACTGATCATATGCATGTGTTAAGATATTCTTCGCTTTTCAGAGTCACTATGTTGCCCTTGTGTATATTTAATGTGAGCTATTCTTCTCGAGTTCTAAATTCTGAAAGCCATAATCATGTAACTTATGTAAGTTCTGAAGCCTAGCAGTTTAATATAATAAACAATCCTTGTACAACTTCTTGAATTAAATATTTCAATTTATTGGCTCCTTTATTTTGAAGGGGTTATGATGCAGTTCTCTAACCAGCACTTGTTTCTATTTTTAGTTAGTCCTCACAGACCTACTCCATGATATAATTACTTTAAAATGTGAGACACATCTATTGTAACTCCTTTTGGACCTTGTCTTAAGCCTTGACCTTGCAACTTTGTTTCTCTAAAAGAATTCATATAAGCTTAAATTAACTCATATTTGTCCAGGGATTGCTACGGTTCATAATTGTTAAATACTTGCATCTGAAAAAACAAAATTTACTCTCTACTTTTACTGCTATCATTGTAGTCTAAGTCTTTTCCAGTGGTTTGCTTTCCATGTGGTTTACAAAATTTGTCTATTTTTGGATAATAGACTATTACAATTTCCTTCTCAATCCGCCTTTGATTTGGGGGTCAAGCAATCAATAAGAAAGGGCCGTCAGTACAGGTTGGAGAAGGTATTACCATCTTACCATTCTTGCCGATTTTATCACTGAACTTCATAGACATCTTCAAATAAGTGATGTTACCATTTTCTGTTGGCAGGTGGATGGTACCCAGTGGGAGCTTATGCCATCATATGATGGTAAAACGGTAACTAGTCTATTTTCAACTTCTTCTGAAGGTTTTATTTGTTAGCATGAAGAGATGTGTATGTTTTGGTTCTTTAAGTACTTAAGCTTCAGCCATGTATTAAATGAAATGAATGCAGAGGTAATATTTAAATCCTACGCAGTTACATTTGTTCCTTGATTACTTAAGCAGTTAAGTTTAATTATAATAAATATATGTACATATGAATGATGCTTAAAAAATCAGATGATAGAAAAGAGAGAAATTGTTTTATATATGGGTCAAATGCCCGCTCATAACGCAACTTTGAATGTAACTCCTTACAAAGAAGAAAGTTGTGGCTAGCCCTTAAGGGGCTGTTTGGTTGGTTTCCCTAACTATAATAAACTTATTTCCACGCATAGATATGGCTTTTCATGTGTTTTTAAAGGTTTCTTGAGATATTGAGTAACTTGTTTGGTTCACCATAAAATAGGGTTGAAAATGGACAGTGTTGTAAATAGCGGTCAATAGCGGGGCTATAGCGGCGCGAATAGCGGTCGCGGCCCTTCAGCGCTACGCATAGGGGTTTCGCGGCTGGCTTAAGCGGGAAAATCCGCTATTCATTCGAATAGCGCGTAAAAGCGGATTTTAGCGGGTTAAAAGCGGGTTTTCGCGGTTAAAAGCGGATTTTCGCGGTTAAAAGCGGATTTTCGCGGTTNGTGGATGTACCCAGTGGGAAGCCTTATGCCATCATATGATTGGTTTTTTTATTTTTTAAAACGGGCTGATCACTAGTCTATTTTCAACTTCTTCTGAAGGTACTTTGTTAGCTATGATTAGCATGAGGCGGGTTATCTGGTATGTCTTGGTTCTTAGGAGATACTTAAGGCTTCAGCCATGTATTTAAATGAAGTATTGAATCCAAGAATTGGAATATTTAAAGTCCTAATTCGCTAGGTTTTAAATTTTATCCTGGATATCTTAAGAGGTTAAGTTTAATTATTAAGTCAATAGATATGCTACAGTCAATTGAAAGATGTGGCTGGGTATTTGGTCTGGAGCTCATCTTCATCTTCGAATGCCTAAAAAATCAGATGAAGATCAGACGATGTGGTGTTAGAATGATTAGAAAATGAAGAAATTGGATATATTGGCGTCAAATGCTCGGCCGCTGCATTAACAGGCGCAACTGTGTGACATGTAACTCCTTTTACAAAGAAGACGAAGTTGTGCGCTATGCCTTGAAAGGGGCTTCGGCTTTTATTCATCTTCGAAGAGATACTCCTTTGGGTTTGGCTGTTACACCGCGCTAACAGACTTATAATAAACGTCTATTGTCCAACGGAATTAGATTATGCTAACTTTCACTCGGAAACTCTAGCTCTCGGCTGTTTTAAACGTTTCTGGTGTTACAACAAGAATAAGGTTAGTAACTTGTTTGTTCACCAGAAAATAGGAGTTTGGACATGGACCATTTGTGTCCTTTCGGACTTTTTTAATAATGTGCGTCGACTTTAGCTGCGGCTTTGAACCGGTCCTCTATTCAAGCGCGCTTTTCGCGTTAATAAGCTTTAAGAATAGTGCTGATCTCAGTATGTCGCCACGTAGTTTTAACTCTTTTTGGTCCCGAAGAGTGCCCTTCAGCTTACGGCATAGGAGTCGGTTCGCGCTGGCTTTAACGTAGAAATCGTGGAATGGCTATTTCTTTTTCGAACGAAACACGCCTTACATAAACGCGAGGGGCTATTCTTTCTAAGCGACGCGATCGATGAGGAGATTATCTGTGGACATGTTCTGCAGATGAACTCCTCGTGGGTAACACGCCGGGAATCTCACTGACAGAATCTATTTAAACAAGCGTGTTCACTTGGCGCTTGGTTTTAAAGAATGGTATGCGGCAAGGCGATTTTCGCCCGCTGATGTTACTTTTTAAAAGAGGGCGCTATTTCCGGCCTCAAGTTAAATTAAAAGCGATTTTGTGTTGTTTATTCACACTCACCACCCGTAAACCCGCATCCCACATTATTATATGTCCTGGATAGTAATATTTCTTAGTATTTTTCTTGCGCAATAGCTTTCACCATTTCATTTCTACAATCATAGTCCTTATAATGGTTCTTCGTTATCTTTTTATTCGATAATACAAGAAGATCTTCAACCTAATGACATTTATACTGTCTCGTTTTTTATCCGATGACCAAAGTTTTTTTATGAATTTTCTTATTATTTAGGATATTTAAATATATTTAAATTTGATCGCTATTTGACTGTGCGCTATTTGCCGCGATTTCGCCGCAATAGCCCGATATAGCCTTAGCGGTACCTCGCCGCGACGCGCCGCGATCCGCTATCAGCAACCTTGAAAATGGATTTCGTCACATATCCATTGTTCGTTTCACGACTAAAAGAAAGGAAACTAAGAATAGGAAACATCCACTTCTCATTTTCTTTAGTTTGGGTAGAAGAAGTGCACAATGAGAAAAAAATGGATGGGCTCACCATTGTCAGGTTTCCATCAAAAGAGACAAAACAAAGAAGTGCTTAAAAAAGAGATGAGCATACCTATATTCAAATTTCATACCCATTCCAATGACCAAACTCTAACAGCCCTGCTATAAATTTTTTTTCCATCAAAGCTCATATGGGCTTGTTTTACTTCTTCATCTTTTTTAAGAATATTTTGCTGCAACTATTCAAATCTCAAAAACTAAACACTATCCCTAGCAAAATGCAATAACTCCAACAAACTTTACAACAAGAAATAACATGCACATAATAAAATCCAAAACCTGAACCATCCAAAACAAAAACACAAATCACTCTTCCTCTTCAAAATCAAAAGGAAACACAATGTCCAACAAAGGCAATAAACAAGCTCTTTCATTGCCAGAAGTTTCCACTAGCTGCTCAACAAAACTCAAATTCTTCCTCTCTCTATATATACCTGCAACCAAGCATCTCAATAGAAACATAACTTAAAGGATTTGAGGGGAAAAGAGATGGACAGATGGAAGCTATCAATACATTCAATATATGATAAGGAGGTAGTTCTCTTGCTCAGGTTTAGTCATCCCTATCAAATGAAGAATATTTGTATGGTGGAGTTATTGTATGAGAAAAATAGGTTTTGTGCCAACCCTTGTGCTAATTCAAACATATATAGACAATTCAAATAGACATAAAACCATGAATTAGACAATCCTTGTGCCAATTCAAACAGATATAGACAATCATAATCTACACTAGTTGAGATAAAAATAGCATAAAACCATGAATTAGACATAAAGTCATAAACTTGAATCAAGTGGGTACATGAACCTGTTATAATAATCATGTTGACTTGCAATACTGATGCATGGGTGATGTAGTATCATGCATATCCTTTAAAGTATTCAAATAATGGTTAAATTTATCTATTTATATGTCATAACCATAAAATTACATGACAAAGTCTGAAGGCACTTGAAAAGATATTATCAACTATCAAGCCATATAGAGAAAGGGTGGTTGAGATAAGTACCATATCACTTAAAATGCCTCAAATCTTCATCAAATTAAAAAGAAAGGGTTGCATAATACTCTTCGTAAGGAAAATCCTTATGCGTACCTCAAAATGATATGCGTACCTTAAAAAAGGGGCCTCCATCATAAATCCTCATTTAGAAACATCATATTGTTGGTCAAAATACCATGACAATGAAAAAGTCGAAACAAAATGAAAATTATTGTAAACATTCTCTTGGCATTATAGCTCAAAACCATCAACAGTTAAAAAATAAAACAAAAATCACTATTAATAGAGGACGTATAAATTCACATCAGACTCCCTAATTAAGTTCACATGCCAATTTCAGTGATATTCCCACCACGATGGCGTTCACAGTAATTAACCCACATCCCCAAGCTATTTGAGTTCTATGATCCTTTCATTCGGTTCTTGATTGTATTTGCTCTCTTTAGGTTTGAGTTTGAGAGAAGTTAATAATATTGTCATCGTCTTTATTTGCCATTTCATTATCCTCCTTTTTAATTTGTACGGGTTCATTGAGGATGTTATCGTTTGGATTAGTGACAATATAATTATGACACTGTGCATGTCAAGACAATATCAACTTGTGTCTCAAATGGGTAATTAGGTTTAGCGAAAAGAATTTTAAAACGACTTTTTAATATTCCGAAGGTGGATTTAATCTTAGATCTTAAAGACGAAGGTCTAAAATTGAATAACTCCCTTCTATTATTAGTTTTATTTTTCCAATTTGTTCTTTCAAATGATATCGAACACCACGGTAAGGGGAGATGAAACCTGACATGGTTGTGTAACCCGCATCACACAAGTAGTATTTATCTACAATTATGATGATGAAAATATATACATTAGATCATGTTTATTTTGAAACTATGTTCAAATATTCATACTTATTTAAATAAAGTTAAAAAAGTTGATGAAGTTACCATCAAAGACTCAAACTATGATGTTGTGGTCTAGATAATGTATTTTGTAGGATCCTATAATCGTTTGTAGAATCTTCCCACCCGGCTAAAAATGTATGTGCATAATTTATTAGGGGTACAAGCTGCCAGAACATTTTGTGTGACTCTTTTGCGACCACAAAAATGTGCACAAGTCTAGCCGAAGACATGACATCAATATGGGTCCTATCTATCATACCAATGCAATCCTAGAGAGAATATCATCAAATAAATATGAAATCATTTTAAATATAGAGTTAAATGAATATATACTTATTCATAAACTATAAATGATATACGTTAAAAATAAGGTAGTACCGATGGTTGTTAAGGATCTCCTTCGGTACTTCATTTGACGCTTGTCTCATATACTGTCCACGTATGTGATAAATTGTTTCAAACACTTTGTTAAAATATCTACTTGCGGTCTCCCCCGATCTAATAAAATGTGATCTTATTATGCGATTTTTTATTTTATGACCCAAAATATTCAACGTCATGGCGAGTTGATCTTGGATGAAATCAGAGTGAAGCATCAAGTACACAAATAAAAGGGAAAAAATTCTCAACAAAAAAATTCTATACACAAAATTTGAAGAGAAAAAAAATCTACACAAATGAAAAGGGAAAAAAATTCTATACACAAATAATTGCTTGCAGTCAAGAAAATTACATATAGCAGTTTTTTAAAGCAGTTTGGAGGTGTTTCCCAGAAGGACTAGGTCCAAATTAGTTGGATCTTGGAGAGATTGAGCAATCAAGAAGGCAAAGCAACAAATCGATCTTCAAAATAACCCAAATAGAAGACCACCGAGCTAAATCACCTAAATCTGAAGATGCCCTGCTGATGACATAGCAAATTAATCAACCCAAACAAAGCTAGGGTTTCTTTGTGAAGTAGCAAGAGAGGATTGACTGTAAAAGAGGACTCAAATCAGGTAGACTCGATGGAGGAGTGAAACTCAAGTTCAATCATCTTACCTCCGATTTTTTTTAATGGAGAGAGACGGTGGAAGGAGATAGGCCGAAGACGAAGAAAAGGAGGAGGAAATGAGAGAGATAAGGTAAGACGGTGGTAATAACAAGGATAAAGTTTCCTGTTTTGTTCTTGCTGTTTCTCATTATTTTCCCTGTGGTCCAGCTAGCAAAAATATCAATTATTTAGTTCTCTTCCATCTCGATTCCGAGCTTATGGCTCGGAAATGGGCATTTTTTTAAGTTGGCAGTGATTTCTCCAAAAAAATTCTTTAAATGTTATGTTGAACCAAACTGAAGGATAGAAGATCTAACTGGACTTAGATTTCTCACTGTCATCTTGTCACTCAGCCATAGAAACCTATTTCTTGGCATTTTTTTTGGCCGAACAAACAACCCCAAAGCTTATTGGTTTAGGGCAAGAATTTGATACTCTTGAGCCTACCAAATCATTTGTGGCTAGCCCTTAAGCTTATTGGTTTAGAGCAAGAATTTGATACTCTTGAGCCTACCAAATCCTAGTAAAAGGGAAGCTGTGGTTAGCCTTTGAGCTAGCTTGGATCAAAGTGTACTCTGAACGCCTGTACGGTTTTTGAACTATGATATTGTACTCAACCTGAATTTAATTGTTGACAACCCTGCTTGAACAACAGTAAAGGATCCAATGTCTTAGTTGTTTATGAAGCATATAGATCTTAATATTTGTTTCTGATAGTTGGGTTCTCCTGTAAAATTTCCTCTGAATATGATTGAATTCATCCTAATTTTTTCTAGGGTAAATCCTTAGGCTATCATCATTACAAGCATCAATTGCTATCATCACCTGATGAAATCGCGAAATGCACTCTATATCATTCTCACTGTTGCTTTCGTGGTCTGCAGTGGGATTCAGCACTACCATTGAATTATTTTCTTTCTCCAATTATCATTATGTTTATTGTCAAGTTGTAACAGTTGCTTGCACGTTATGTTGTGAGGGTAAAGATTGTACTTAGCAGAAGAAATTACGTCTTGATACATCATCATTTTATACTTTTATCTTGGTAAATTATCATTTTCATTTGTGCATAATTTGTTGTCAGGTTCTACTACAAGGAATGCCTCGCACTGCTATTCCAGAGGACATAGAACGCGTCCTATCTGGTTTCGAATTTGATCATAACTTCCAAATCTTTTCAAGGTATTTTTTTCTCTCAGTTTACACATGCGGACCTAGATTGGGCTCGACTCATTCATAAGAAATCTGCCAAATTTTGTAGGCCTATTGGCATGAACGAGTTTATCAGGTGTGCACTTATCCGGTTCCCAACAGCCCTGGATGCAGTGTCTGCCTTCTTGAGGAAAAACAACAGCTTCTGCCAAAATAGCCCGATCACAATGCGAGTTCTCCAATGAGCAGGATTCTCTTACATTCTTGCAGACCTTGTTATGTGGTTAAAATTGAGTGGGATGTACTTTTGTCATGAAAAATGCATTTGTTGCTTTTTATATCCTCGTGGCTTATAATTATGCGTAATAATGTAGTTGCAGTATTCTGTCATCTTTGAATCTATTCCATGGGTTGGGTATGACCGTGTACTGAAACTATCACGATTTGGTTTCATTAGTCTGTTAATATTTTCTCTCAAGCTAACTGTGGAAGGGGCGAAGAACTATTTGTAAAACAGTTCATTGACGCGATTTGCGTTTGTTAAGAACTGGCAGTGGATACTTATGCTGCTGTCGAGCATCACATACAAGTTGACAAGGTACTTTGCTATGCAGAAAATTGTAGGACAGCTTTAATTACCATTATTTATTTCACTATGATTACAGTGTTATTACTTCACAATGGTTATAGTGTCATTATACTAGTCTATTGCAGCGTTATTGAAATATTTTGGAAAGGGTAGTTGTAAAAATATCATTCGTACAATCGTACGTGCGGTTGCTTAATTTTGCAATTTTAAAAAGGTAGTTCATCT